CACAGGGGAATTCTAATTACAATAGCATATGACATCACAAAGATTTCCATCAGTCCAATTCATTCTCTCATTTATACCCAAGAGACTGTCAAATTTATATTGTGCTATTCAAACAAACTGCGCTATTCAAGCCCACTGAATCTCTTAAGAATACTTCTATTCTATTCTGGACACTCTGTCTTAAAATCATGGCTTTTTATTGGTCTTTTCAGCTACTCTATAAACAGATGAATCATCTGAGTCCAGCAGTAAAAGCTCATAGGTATGACCACAGCAGTATCTGCTTATTACCATGCGGAGAGCTGCAATATGAAAATTCGCTCTATAGAGCAGGCTTGTATTCTTCTTCTGAGAGAGTGGCAGCTGCTGTGGATTATTTTGAGTGCATTAGGTTTGTACTCGATGCTACTCTGAGAGATGTACTCTGGCTTATTTAGTTGCTATTTTATTACAGCTGCTGATAAATTTCCATGAGATATTATATAACCACTCTTGAGGTAACAGATGCCAGTGTACAAGAGTGAAGTGTTATGGCAAAGATGAATCTATACAATACATTTAGTTTTGCTGTAGTAAATAAACAATATTTTAGCTTAATGTGTTTTGGGTAGCACTATTCATTGCTATGTGCTGCTTCTTTGTATAGTAGGAATATGCGGCATTCATCCACGAGCAAAATGTTTTGTTAATTACACATATTTTTCACTTGTTATGAAGCGTGCCTTACGAAGCACAAAAACTGGCCTGTAGCTGTGTAATACTAGAGAAAAATATGGTTGCTTGGCTGAAAAGCGTTTCATGATGTGCATTATTAATGGAGTGGTAAATTAGTGTGGAGTGCTCAGCTGCCCTCGTCTTCAGAGAGGACTGGAGTGGAGCAAAGCAGAAAGTGCCACTGACAAATGCAGGCCCTCTCTAAATACCATGCAGTAAGCCAGCAGATGCACACGTTCAAGCATTAGGTTCCCCGAGATCATCATTAAAGCCAACATTTGCATTTAAATGAAATATGAAGTCCACAGGGGTGCTGGGATTTTTTTTTTTTTTTCGGCGTAGTACACAGCGTAATGAAGAGGCTCGTTTTACATGAACAACTTTCTGGGTGCGTTCATTACATTCTCCATTACTCTCTGAGCGCAGCAGGCCTGTACCTGGCGAGTTTGATGAAGCTCATGGTGCCTGAAGAGCCTCAGGTGTGTGCACTTTGACAGAAACCCACTACAGATTGAGAAGCAGCCTCCACTGTTAATTCCATCTGCTTGCTAGAAATGACTGACTCAGCAAGCCCATTTTATTGAGATGGAAGAACGTTTTTAGAGGCGCTCTCAGGTTTCAGTGGGTGGCTGAGCTGGTGCCTGAACTCATGGATCCCCCACCTTTCGAGTCAGGAAGATTGAGTTTACCATGAAGAGTAACGTATAGTAATAGAGTATTTTGTGACTTTCTCTTTTCAGAAAAACGTCCATGCGAGCCAGAATTTTTTTATCAACTGCTTCGCTTATCAACAGACTTCTCTTTCCTTTGCTGTCTTATTTATAAAGCAGAACAGCCTTTTATCTTGTTGGAATGAATAAAACATCAAAACTTAAGTACCTGCAGCTGACAGTTTAGACAGAGAATGTGATGTCTCAGACCCTTGGACTCTCGGCTGGAGGAAATTGAGATGGAGAGCGGTCACCATCTCACAGATCCTCATCCACATCTTTAAACATAGGCCATCGATCATAAAATGCAAAACGTGCAATGATAGGCTTTTCCTGTATCGACTAACAGTGGCCAGGATCCTTTTTAGAATGACTCTATAAATTCTGTGAGTGCTTGGTATGTGTCCTTCAAGGGCTGAATGATTTGTGGAAATATTTAATTGTGATCTTTCTGACCCATACTATGACTGTGAATTAAATTATAATAATTTTTTTGTAAATTAAGGTCCAGGTATGTACGTTCAAATGTAGGCTAGTTATCACTTGCACTTTTTTTATGCTGAGCTAATTATGTAATGTAATGTTACTGTTAGCTTAAGATAACTCACTTAATTAAAACACTAAATATTGTGTGTGGTTTTATTTTCAGTTGTAATCATGACGCTGACTTAAACTTTAAACTCCTAACATGAAGCTTTTCTGAAGATGCTCTTTAATGCAGATGCCAAATTGATGCTAAATTGATGCTACTATTGTGTCATTTGGTCAGAAACAGTTGTTTAAAAACCAGCACTTTTTGTTGTTAGGAAATATTTAAATACACAAACAAGTAATGGCTACAGGTGTTCACTATTATTAAGTTCAATCATAAAAGCATAAAATTGCTCAAATCATTCTCTTCTATGCCAGATATTCTTCCATAGAACACAAAATGTCATGCAAGTGCAAGTTCATGGCTGTGAGTTTACTGATTGGCTCTGAACTTGTTATTATCATGTTAAAGTGATACTGTTCACTGTTTCTAGCTGTTTATGCATTAGTCAATTGTTACTAAGGGTGGGCAATATAGTAAGATGTTTTAGTGTTATCATGATAAAATGAATACATTTTGAAAAGTAGGTTTTGTTGTTATCTTCTTTGAATATATTGTGGATATTGTTTATATGTTTCATTAAAAAGAGAAGATACGTAACCCTATTTAATTGGATTTAGTGCAACAAAGAATGTGAAATGATAAATAAAAATCATTATTGAGTTTTTTATACCAATCCTTAGATGTACTTTACTGCTAGTACTTTGCTAGTACTCTGTGTCTGTGTTAAAATTTTGTGATATGTGTCGTGAAAATATGGATGTTACTAGTTAACACATTGCTTACGGATTGATGTGCAACCAAATTTAGTCAAAGGATAGTTTGAAACTAACTAGTGTTAACTAAGGACTTAGTAAAGATTTTATGCGTACAAAGTGGTGGAACCTGGTCCAGGCCTATTACTTTGGCTAAGACCAGGATGTAGTTTGCTTGAATGCTACGAGTCACTGCCAGTTATTTATGACTGTGTTGTCATGTACACAGCACATGGGTTGTTTTGAATGGTGTAACTCATCTCACAAGCTCAGTGTTATTAGTTTAAATTTCCCCCACTTAAAACTTTACAGTGTTGATAATATAAGCTGTAATTGAAATTGCAGTTTGAAAATCGTACTCTTTCAAATTTAAATTTCGATATAGAAACGATTCATCTTTCAGCAGTTTGTAAGTACATTATTACCTCCCTTCAAATGCCTTCAAATGTAGAAGGAATAATTTTAGATTGTGTAGTGTCCACTGCTGTTGAGAACTGTATTGCCTGGAGTCTTTAGAATGTTTGTGGGGATTTTAAGTGATGTATTTGTTGCTTGCTATGATGCAAGAGCAGAAAGTCTCTCATGGGCCAAATACATTAAGCAAGACTTCAGATCTCATAAACATCAAGTTTATTAAATTCACTCTGAATTGTAAGCTGGCTTTTGCAGTTACTTAGAAACAAGCCGGTCAGGAATGAGGGATGATCGGAGCGAGGCAAAACTGTAACTGTGGTCCACAATAATGGTGTGGAGAATAATAGAAGTGGACAGGCTGCGTTGGATGTTTGTCACTTCTTAGGGTATGTTTTCGCTTGTTATATCATTTCAGGCTTGAGGCACTCTGTGCCTTGCTGAGTCCTGCCGTTATGAGACTTTTGTAACGGGACAGACACTGACCACTGATGTTGAACAGGGATTGTTGAAGTGACATAACGTGGTTGTTGAATGCGCGCGTGTGTTACTGTGTGTGTGTGTGTGTACGTCACATTTAAGAGTGTCTGGAGGCCATCTGGAAGAAGTCCGCCCTGTCTGGAGTCTCCGGACTCCCTGCTGGTGGGCTGCTGCAGGAATTCTCTCCCTTGAGTGGTTTGCGAATGATGAGAATCCTGCTGGTGCAGACATGCAGGAAACTTCATCTCCTCCTTCCCTCTCTATCTCTCTCTTTCAATTGTGCGAGAAGTGGGCAGGCTTCTGAAATAAAGCTTTGCCATTTGCTATTGTGCCAGTGTGGATTTATGTGTTTCTGTGCTGACCTAAACATTTATTGCAGTTGCAAATCTCCTTGACTTCAAATCTAAATGAAAATATGGGGGCATTTCATATAAGGAAGAGCTGCAGAGTTCTCTATGGTAGCATGAATCAGGCAACTGTCCCACTATATGTCTGCCCTTGGGCTTGAGTGAAATCCCTATATTCATTTTAAAAAAAACAGTCAGGGGCCTTCAGTTGATTTTAGCTCATTGAAATCACAAACATTGGTAGTAGATGTGGAAGAGAGTAAAGATGGATCATTGAGTAGACTTTGATCGTTCAGTTCCCTTCATAGTATTCACAAAATGTACCTGCATTTTCACCCAGGAGGTTGGTTCCAACATTCACTGTAACAGTGTAATTTGATGTTGAGTACGGCTATTAAGCTGTTGCATAAGCTTCAAATTCACTGCTGGTGTTCTTGAACTTTAGTGAGCAGTTTATAATCAGCCTGGAAATGTACCTACTTTAAGCTGCGCACCCCATGCTGCTCCTCTCCATGAACAAGCATTGTTTGTTTAGGGCATGACCTAAGCTCCTTTCTTATTCGAGATTTTGGTTATAGAGCCGCATGTGTGTTGCTACCAGTAGGCTGCTTCAGTGATGGCCTTTAGCCCCTCTCAAGTATTAGTCATTGCATTTCATTATTCCTTTCCTGAATATGATAGGCTCATTCAACATTTGCAGGATATCGTTTTTCTCTCTGTCTACCCACTGTTCTGTGTCATGCTTTAGTTAATATATCACACACATAATTTAGTGACAAAATACACTTCCTTCCATTTTAGACCCACCTTCTGTAGACAGTCTGTGTGAAGTGTAAAGGAGCGATCTATCAAAAAAACAAATTATAGACCTGTTGTTTGTGTTCTAGGTTGGTAATGTGTATAAAATTGATGCTTTGTGCTAACCACTCTGTCACAGTAACCTTAGGCCGTCCTTACCTTACATTAACCCCCATCTGTCCTTGCTTTACAGAGACGCTGTGTTTCTATGGGTACATGAATCTGAATTCCACTGGCCAGATGCCTGTAATGGAGGAAGTCGATTCCAATGAGAGGTTTGAATGCCATTATTTGTTTCTTTCTGTCAGCTACCCTTAAATTAATTTCCAGTTAAAATGGCCATTGAGTACAAGTTATTTATTTTTCCAGGAGATAGTTCTGAAGACATTATATATTATATACTATGCAAGAACTGGTAGACCACCAAAACTGTCACCACCAGATTAACAGTACCTAAAGCTTTGAGAAAATCAAGCTCCACTCAACACAATGCTACGGGTTTGAAAGAAGCTGTTACTAAGAAAAGGAAATAGACAAAAAGAAAACTGGATATCTGTATGTTTCTTTGAAAAACTGAAAGCGAGGGTGGACACATGAAATACTGAAAAAATAGTATTATATTTAGTTGTTGAGGCTTCTGTGTAATTTTCTGTTAAATTTATGTTTTCATAAAATATATGTAAATATATGTTTTTTCCTGATGCTGAAAAGTGAAGAACGTGTACTTAATGGCTGTTTTGATGAAAAATTAAGTAAATAAGGGTGGCCTCTAACTTTTGCACAGTACTCTTTGCTGTATATCTGATCTCAAGGCCTCTGGGCAACTAGAACATGTCCTTATTGCAAAATTCATTTGTTACAGTACACACCCCATTATGGACCTTTACACGTGTTCATTATCTTTGACGCAGTAGTGACATAGTGACAGTGTGCTTACCTCAGTGACTCGTTAAGTTGAAACAATCCCTGAATGGGGTGGAGGTATGTCAGAGCTGTGTTCTCTGTGGATATAAAGGAATGTGAGATGACTGAATGTAATGTGGGCATGAGATCTGATGGCTCCAAGGATGGTCTCAGGGGAGTGGCGGCTCGATTGGTCAGCAATGCAGGGGAAATATGGCCTTCCTCTCCTGGCATCAGTTTTCCCTCCTCATGTATCTGCTTACCTTTCGCCCAAATTCTCTTTGAGGATCCTGTGACAAGCCCACTCCACTGCACTCAACGCACAATAAAATGTGATAAAAATAACAGCAAAAAGAAGTGACCTTTAACGCTTATTACACTTGGATTGACTTTAAGCCTTTTCCGTGTTGTTTTCTAGTCTAGTGCTGTCAGCATGACCGTCTGTGCTCTCAAAGCACTACTGTTGTTGTTGTTGTTGTTGTTGTGGTAGCGATGGTTAGTGCTTGAGAAATTAAAGGCATAAATAAAAGGAAACAATCCTTCAGATATTGTGGTATACGTGGTCCATAGTGAAAGCCTCTTGCACACTAGAGCAGAATGGCTCAGGCAGCTGTCCAGTTCCTTTATGAATCAGTATTCTAGCTTGTCTAGCAAAGCTGTAAAATCCCCATTGATAAAATGCAGGCACCCTGTGCTCAGCTCATGATTATCATCTCAGACAGCTCTACCAGTCTGTGCTCAGTCTTGGGACGTGCTTTTTTTTCTTTCCTCCAGACGTTCCCATTCATACCTCTGAGCATGACTTATAACATCACTGCATGATATCACTGCAAACCACATGTTTTCCTGCTTCTGTCGGTCTCTTCTCCTCTCCGTGCTTTATCAAGAGAGAGTTGCTGCACTCTCTCAGGAATAAAGTACCCTCTCTGCTTGTGCTGTTTCATACAGTAAATCGCAAATTTGGCACCCCCTTTCTTTGCAGGAATTTGGAATGGGATTGCATGGTTTGTGCTGAGGGGAGAAATCAACAGGGATGAGAGTTGGCTTAGTCTACACTTGTAGTATATGGAGATGCGTACATACTATTATACTTTAATCAAAGATGCACTTACAATCTGTTCACATCAAAATTGCGTTCTTTGATAAGCCTTATGGGGTTTTGAGCAGAAGATAAAGCGGCCCATTCCTCTGAGATATACTGATCTGAAGCATACAGTCAAGCAGCCTCGGGCTTAACCCAGGTGGTAAATCCTAGTGTGGTGGATGAGGTCTGAGCTGCTGCTGGAGGGAAAATCTGCTCATTGAAATGAGGATAAAGGAGGAAGAGGGGTCCATTGATCTCTCTTTCTCTTTCAGTCTTTGTCTGCTGGAATGTGTACAGACATGTTGTTTTTGAAATTTCAAGCCTGGATTCTGCCAAAACAACTTAATGTACATGCTACTGTGGTTTAAACTTAACTGGACACAGCACTGCTGTCCCTTGATTATATTAGTAATCATGTAATCCACAAATTATTTTGGCTAATATTAGAGCAGTTAGAGTTTTAAAAAGGCCTTACCTAAACAAACTTTGGAAAGCCTTCCGCACAATCTAAAACACGTTAATGGAAAATGATACAATGAGAAAGCCCTTAAAAAGACTTCAAATAAATGAATTAATTAAAGAATACAATACTGTGCAAAAGTTAAAGACCACCCTTCTTTTATTTTATTTACTGTGGAAACAACCATTGAGTAAAAGTTATTGTTCAGCATCTGGAAGAAACAGAAAACATGTTTAACAGAAAATTACACATGTGCCTCAGAAACGTAATATAATTTCAGTTTTTTCAGTATTTAGTATGCCCACCCTTTACCTGTATTGCAGTTTCTTTTTTTCTTCCATGAAACCTTACTCCATCTTGGATGTCTGGTTTTGGTGTTCTAGAGCAAGTTTTCTTCTTTTTTGGTCTATTTTCTTTTCTTCTGCACATGCTTTCAGACCCATAACATTGAGCTGTCTTCTCACAATAGAAGTATGAACAAAAACACCTTTGGACCTTCTTCCTATGAAAAATAAGTGAATTATCTCACATGTAATCTTCTCTGAAATATGTCCTTAAAAAATGAATAACTTAATAGCTGTTGACTGGAAATGAAATAAAAGAAAAGGTGCTCTTTGACTTTTGCACAGTGCTGAATGTGGCAAAAAATGCACATTTAATTACTACTGTAAAAGAGTCCAGTAGGAGAATTTAAACTATGCATTACCACCAAGCAAATTGCAAACTAATCATTGCTGATCCACCGAGGAGGTAAATTTTAATGAGTTATTTATTTTGAATCTAGTAATCGAGCCAAAGAGATAGCAGTTAAATGCCTGCAGTTTGCCTGGGTTTTATTCTGTTCATCCTGGTCTTTGAACCTTCTGTAATTCATACCTTGAGTCTCAGTATAATTAATAAAGGGCTGTTTCAGCTGCGTGAGTCTGTGTGTGCTGAGACGACAGGAAAGGCAGCCTCTGGTCCACCTGCCTGTGAGTTGGATGGTCTCCAGCTTTCACTTGCTTCTAACTCAGGGCAAGCCTCTGGGGATCAGGAGACCCTGTGCTGGGCAGACATGGGACTTGCTTAAAAAGATTATTCTCTTAGTCTTCTCCATAGCAGTAGATCCTCCTGTGTCCTTTAATATGCTTTATCCTTCTTTTTTCGTACTGATAAGGATAGAAACATGGCTAAAAATGGATCAGTTCCTTTGGAAGTGGGCTTATTTGAATTAGATTTGCTTCTATGTGCTGTTGTGAACACATGAACAGAGGTCAGTGTCAGCTCTGGGTGGTGAAATACAGTTTACTAGTAGCGAGCACATGTAGCTTCCTTATGGCTGATATGTGGGAGGGTCACAGCTTTTATCTGTAGCTGTTTAGTACAAGAACATTACTGGTTGGAGAATCAGTAGCTGAAGACAGCTTGTCCCAGTGACTTGATGTTTCCAGGCAACAGTGGCCTATCTCATAACAGCAGCCCATGCACCAGTGTTATCATTTTTAAATGATAACAGGGTGAAAATTAGGAAGTTTGACTATCTTTTTTAAACTGCAGATATTCACAGTGACATAGTGAAACTTGCTCTCATATAACTTCAGGACTACTCTATGCTAGTTATTAATGTGAATGTCTCATTAATGTGATTACTGTAACCTGATAAAAGTGATTACTGTAAGCGTCATGACTGCTACAGGAGAGGTTTATTGTTGCAAATGACTAAAGATGTTGTCAAAGATTTATGGTATATAATTAGTATATGGTATTGTAGATAAAGGCAGTTGAGTTGGCCTATACATGTTCTGCTGTACTTAATGTACAGTGAAATAAGTACCACATGCTCATATACACGTATATTTATTTACTTAAATTATATTAAATTGGGTGCAAAAGAACAGCGTGGCGTTTCCTAACATTTCATCAAGACTGAATGCTTCAACATCCAGAGCATATTTTAGTTTAGGCAGCACGATATCAACAGATGCAAATGCCATTAAACCAGTCAGAAATTCACATTTAGGTCCATGCCAATCATCCACCGAAGCCACACAGTGATTTCGATTCACCTTAAAAGGCCCCTTTGTTATCTGGGACAGAAGAGTCACATGTGCCTTCAGAGTATCCAGGCAACCCAGTCCATCCCCAGGTGCAAGTTATTATCAGATTTCCCATTAATTATCATCAATCTGTGGAGCAGGATGAGGCAGATACGTGATTGATAATTGTCAGGAAATGGATTTATCAATCTGGGCCCCTGGATGAGACTGAAGAAGTTCAATTCAATTGACCCGCCATATTCCATTTCACCAAGGCTGCCGAGTGTTCATGTGCAAATGAAACTGGGAGAATTATAGGGCGTGTGAACCTCACTTCCTGTCTATTTTCTTTTTTGTCTGACATACTTCCCTGATTTGTTTCTGAAATAAAGTGAGGAATTAAATTCAGAGAAACTTAGCAAACAGCTAAAGTGCTGTGTGGAAGTCATCAATTTAATTGTCTAATGTGTAAACTTCAGTGTTATGATTATTAATCAGATACTTTGATAAATTTAATCTCTAAACTCACCTTATTTATTAGATTGTAATGCCTTGGGAAATGATTCAAAGCATCATGCAATCTCCAATCTCACCTCACTTGACTCAATTTGATTATTTTTGTTATGATTACTTTTAGATTATTAAATTATTGTTAGGAATATTTTTTATATATTCACAAACTGAAGTAACTATTGACCTGGTACTGAGATATATGCAGTAAAAATAATACACAATATATTTTTACATTTGAAAGCAGTCTTAAAAGTTTTATTTTGGACAAAAACATATTAAAGTTTTATTTTGGACAAAAAC